TGGCTGGTTTATACAAATATGCTGATATAATTAGTGATCCATTAAGCTCTGATTATTAGAACATTGCATAATTAAGTAGCAAATGACATTAGTCGATATCAAGTCTTGCAAGAATCCTTTATGCATAATCATTAGTGTTTACATTCATTGATTAGCATTCAAAATTCATTCATTTGTTGCATGCATATTTATTTTATTTTATTTTAAATTATTTTTTGATTATTAAGTAGTTGTACAAAGAGGTTTCAACTTCCTAAGTCAGGTCATAACCACAGTGTGTCTTGATCAATACCACTGCTCCTATCATTCTCCCCCATTTTTCCCTTCCCGTCCTCCCCTCAGATTACCTAGTGCAGTTTTTACATAATGTACATTGAATAGAATGATTGCATTTGTCCATCCTTCCTTCCTCCTTTCATGTGTCCTCCCATTTTCCTCCCCCAGAACATATTTTTGCTTCCTCGCATGTTTATTTATACCTCTTGTAGATAAAATGATATATTTTCCCCTGTAATGTACCCTTGTAACAGTTAAGTTTTAATGAAATATTAAGATATAATAATTGTTGCATCAAAGGTAAACAAATTATGATAAAATTAATATCCATATTCTAGTCAAATAAAAATAGAATTTACAAACACTATGGGCTTTTATTTGTCTGTGACTCTCTTTCTCTAATGGTGTTCTGTTTTTTAATCCCTTGGTTTACTTATTTATTTTTTTGACATGGTCTTACAATGTACCTATGCTGTCCCAGAATGCTCAGTCTTCCTACTTCAGCCTTCCTCATGTTGGGATTGAAAGTATGCACTGTTATGCCAGCAGTATTCTGATTTTTAAAATAGTATTTACTTCTTTGGTTTATTTATATTTTTTACTACCTATTCATATATTCCTTAATGGTGTATTTTACTTTTATATCTAAGCCTTCTATTAGTGGCAGTATTTGCTATATATCCTGTTCTGTATGACCTTTTTATGTAGCATTGTTTTTAAGATTAATTGATGATACATGTATTATAGTGTACTTTAATTACAGTGTAATCTTCCACTACATTAATATGCCATGTTTTGTTTATATATTATGCTGTTAAGTGGACATGTGTTTCTTACCCAGTTTTTGCTGTTGTAAACAATTCTTCCTACATGGAGATCATTAGTTACATATTTCCTGTATAGTACACATGTAATTATGTAATGTATTATAAAACACATGACTTGACATGCAAAGGATTTGCTGAACTTCCTGTTTTGTTCAACTTAATTTGTACAACTACCTCATTGTTTTGCTACAGCTTCATGTTATGATCACTGGTGGAGAAATTCTGCCCACTTTATTCTTTTCCAAAAATATCTTGGGCTATATTCAGACATTTTCAATCCATATAAATTTTAGAATCAGTTTGTCACACAAACCAACCACTGAAGCTTTAATGATTCTTGTATTGAATGTGCTGATCAATATCAGGTGAATTGACATCTTTATAATATTGAGTTTCCCCAATCTGTGAACACAGTATATATCTTCTTTTCATTAAGTATTCTTAAATGACTGTCATTAAACTTTATAGTTTTCTCTGTAGAGGACCTATATATCTGCTGTGGATTTAATTTTTAGTATTAAAAACATGTTCTATAGTGCACTTTCTATTATCTTGCAGTGTGGTTAAGAGCAAGACTTTGCAGCCATCTTGCAAATGTCATGAAAGACAAGATCCTTTACCTCATGTGCCCCATCATTCATGGTGTGCAATATTAAAGCAACTCTACCTCTTTCCCTTATTATTAGATTAACTGTTACCCCTTTCCCAAATTAAGAACATGAAAAACACCTAACAGGGATAGATTAAATACAAAAACACATTAGCTTAATTCTTAAAAATATCCTCTAAGTTATTAATGGGGGTTATTTTGAAATTTGTACAACTCTTAGTTTTGATTAAACTATTGCCTAATATATTTAGGTGTGTTTCTTCCATGTGGTCAGTCCATTCTTTTCCTCTTCTTTTTTTTTCTTTTTTTGGTCGGTCGTGGGGCTTGAACTCTGGGCTTGGGCACTGTCCCTCAGCTCTTCAGCTCAAGGCAAGCGCTCTACCGCTTGAGCCGCAGCGCCACTTCTGGTTTTCTAGTGGTTTATTGGAGATAAGAGTCTCACAGACTTTCCTACCCCGGCTGGCTTTGAACCGCGATCCTCAGATCTCAGCCTCCTGAGTAGCTAGGATTACAGGCATGAGCCACCGGCGCCCAGCTCCTCTTCATTTTTTAATAGCACCTTTGGATGTATTTGTTATATGGTATTTCTTTTGCGAGGGATGTGAAGTTTTTTCCTATCAATTATTTGCAAGAGGCTTACATTTAAAGGATTATAGAGAGCTAGAATTTTCCTTAAGGGCCAAATTTGTGTGTGTGTGTGTGTGTGTGTGTGTGTGTGTGTGTGTGTGTGTGTGTGTTTGTGTTTTTCTTCCTTTTAGGTTATCTTTGCCCCCTGCCTTTCCACTGAGGTAGTCATTTTTTCTCTTTGTTAATACAAAAACTGTAACTTAATAAAATTAATAATTAAATTTTCTGCGACTTCTTGTTCCACCAGTTCTTTTATTTCTTGGAATCATACTGAGCTAAATGAAATCTGCATCTTGAATATTTTATTTCCATGTTTGGAAGCAGAGAATTCTGTTTTGTACTTTAAGTTCTGCACTTTATTTTTTTGAGAAATTTACTTCATTTCTAAGAAGTTTATTTTTTGAGAATTTGGCCATTGTTGTCACATCATATACAGCTACAATATCCTTTTTCCCCCTTCTTACACCTTCAGTAGTATTTGCACTATTTGAATTATCTTTAGCTGCCTTTTTTTGGGTCAAAATTGTGTTAGGTATGCCATTTTCATATTTCTATGAAAGATGATTATTTCTAGGACAAGAAAAAAGGATCTCCATGTACATCTCAATGTTCAAACTAGGCTTCCATTTTGGTTCCATTTGTATTACAGCTAACAGAAATGGTTTTATTCTTGTAAACCCTGGGGAGAACATTTCTCTAAATTCTTTCTATTATCTTTTCCTTTGTTTTTATATTCATTTGTTCTTGTAGTCACATTTTGGGAGTGAGTGATACTGGATTGCTATTCTTGATACACAAAAGTATATCATTTCTTTCTCTTATAGATTTATATATGCTTTTAAAAATACTGCTTTTTAGAGGTGATATAACAGAAGGGTTACATTTACAAGAATCAGGTAATAGGTACATTTCCTTTTAGACAGTGTCATGGTCTTTCATTCTCTCCCATTCCATTACCACCAATGAGTAATTGCTTTTGAGTAGTTGAAACAGGCCAATGCACAAAATTAAAAAAGCATAAACATTTGATAAGAAAGATGGTGGTTGTTTAACAAACTTTCCTTGTACCTGATTCTCATCATTATAATTACAATATTTTACCACTTGTGCCAGTCCTTATTACCTCCTCCATTATTTTCCTTAAGTACTTTGAGGTAAATTTAACATGTCCAGTTTCACCTATTAATAATTTATCATATTCCTATTTGAAATACACACACACACATGAACAGTCCACATTTCACTCTTTACTATCATACCATTATGATATCTAATAACATTATTAGTATTTTTTATCTCATTTAGTAACTATTCTACACTTCTCTATATAATTCATAAATATACTCTTACAGTTTATGTGTTTGAATCAAGATCAAAACAGTATCTTTCATTGTTTCAGTATTTTTCTTCATTTTGCTTTTTCTTTCTTGGAAAACTAAAGATTGATCCTAGGGCCTCACACATGCTATGTGAACAATGCACCGCTGAGCTACTTACCCAGCACTCTTGTAAAAAAAAAAAAATGTTTTGAGAGTGTTTCTTTAAGTTTCCCAGGCTGGCCTTAAACTTTTCTTCCTCCTACCTCCCAAGGAGCTAGAATTCCAGCTGTGCACCACCACGCTGTGCTTAGTATTTCTTTTTAAATTCATAAGAGTTTACTTTTCACCTGATTTTTCATGTCATTTTCCCAGGAAGATCTAACACATATAATAACACATAGGAATCACAAAATTTTGGAGAATTTGGCTGCTTCTATCTTACTTTTCTTTCAATACCTTCTGTATACTTTGTTTCCTGTAAACTAATATGATATATACAAATGATTAGATTCCGGTCAAGTCTTTTTTTTTTTTTTTTGGTTCAGTCGTAGGGCCTGAACTCTGGGTCTGGGTGCTGTCCCTCAGCTCTTCAGCTCAAGGCGAGCGCTCTACCACTTGAGCCACAGCACCACTTCCGGCTTTTTTTTTCTTTTTGCTTATGTGGTGCTGAGGAATCGAACCCAGAGCCTCATGCATGCAAGGCAAGTGCTCTACCACTGAGCCACCTTCCCAGCCCCACAAACGATTAGATTCAAAATCAGTATTTGACCAAAAGCCAATGGAAGTGTTCTTCATCACTAGAAGACACATGATTGTGATTTCTTATAAGGTCACATGTGATTCTGTTTTTTTTTTTTTTTTAATAAGGTCCCTTTTTATCAATAAGTTAGATTTTCTCAACTTGATGTGACAATTATAAATTTTGACATTGACATATACAATGAATATACTAATCTAGATTGATCATAAAATGACTATCATTCCTTGTGTAATTAATTGTTGAAATGGAAGTTCTGGCAGTTCTTAAGTTTAATGGATGTGCCGATGTTCTCTGATGAATTTTTAAATTAGCACTTGAAGGAAACTGTTCAGTATTCATATAGATTTTTTTATACAGTTAAAATTCTCTGGTTTAGAAATTATCCAATTGTATTTTGGTAAATAATTTAAACAAGAACAAGTTTTGAGAAGGATATTACATTTCAAAGTGATTGAAATGTATCTGAGATTGTTGCATCCTTTACTGAAAGAGCTGGATAGCTATGCATTATTTTCAGATCTCAAGACTATGTCTATGATTTTAGGACATTTTATAATATTTTTTATTTTCCTTTTATATAGGTTATTAAGTGTGGTTTGCTGTGATTTGGACACCCTTCTCCTATTGGAGGCTCAATACCAAATATCCCAAATATTGCTACATGCTCAAGAAGAAAATCTTTTAGAGACCTCAGAGAGCCACAGGTTAATAAATCAAGGTGGAGGGGATTAGAACAACAGTTTTAACAGACACTTTAAGAAAGCAATTTTCTGGGCTGGGAAGATGGCTCAGTGGTAGAGCACTTGCCTTGCATGCATGAGGCCCTGGGTTCGATTCCTCAGCACCACATAAACAGAAAAAAAAAAAAAAAAAGCCAGAAGTGGCGCTGTGGCTCAAGTGGTAGAGTGCTAGCCTTGAGCTGAAGAGCTGAGGGACAGCGCCCAGGCCCAGAGTTCAGGCCCCACAACTGGACCCCCCCCCCCCAAAAAAAAAGAAAGCAATTTTCTATAGAGTTTGTTTTCACATACCATCTGAAACTCAGTAAGTTTAAATAACAGATAAAAAGAAATTCAAGCATAAATGTCACAAAAAGATTATGGTATGTTTTTTCGAGAGGATTTGCAGAATACTACATTCATCATTTGTTTCTTTTGTCTTGCTTAGATTTTCTTAAGTCCTACATTTAGAGTTTTATGAAGTTGTATTACCTTTAAGTTCATACTGCATGTGGAAGATGACTCATTGCACAAATGGTTTGATTGTCTGTCCCTTGGAGAGACATTATTTTTCTATTCTCTTAATTATTTAACTCAAAGTTGTTAATTTTTATTATTTGCAAATTGAAATTTTGGTATATATTTTTTTCTGTTGATAAGTCACTCTTGGCATTACCTCAATTTGGCTGGCATTTACTGAATGGTAGATTCAGTAGCTGGTGTTTTTTGCATGCCTGTAATTTATAAAAGGCATAGTGTACCTCCATCCTAACCAGATCATGGGAAGTGGCGCTGTGGCTCAAGTGGTAGAGTGCTCGCCTTGAGCTGAAGAGCTGAGGGACAGCGCCCAAGCCCAGAGCTCAAGCCCCACAACCAACAAAAAAACAACAACAAAAAACCAAAAAACAAACAAGCAAACAAAAAACCAAAAAAACCTAACCAGATCATGAAGAATTGTAGAGTTTCATTAGTTGATATCAAGGCTTGATGTGGAACCGAAGGACTAACAGCTTCAGAAAAAGACAGTGTTCATATGTAACACTTGAATTGGAGTTTAACCCTCGATCCTGAACATAGAGCCTTGTCTCTAAATACAGCAAGATTTCTGTAGAATTAGGACATGTATTAATTCCATTGAAGTAATCTGTTAAGTAAATATTTCATCTCACTGGTCTAATGTCAATTATATTTTTATCAATTATTTTCTCTTTAGCAAAGAAAGCTATAATATACAATATAAATTTTTCTTCTCATTTTAAGTTATACATTAACAAATCACTTCCCCAAACACTTCTGGGATAATTTTTCTTTGCAATCTAGTGATATGGTTTAAAAATCAAGTCATATTCAGTTAATAAGGCTACAAAATTTATATGTATATATATATGTGTGCGTCTTTGTGTCTATGTCTATATATTCTTTCAGGGAATTCATAATTGATGGCTTATCTGTAGAGAGAAATCATGTTCTTGTAAGAATAAATCTTATTGGTGGGCCACAGGAACGGATTTTGCCTCCAAGGATGCTGGCAAAGGTGAGTGCTAGCCATAGCAGGGGATATTTCTTAAGAATGTTTTGAAGCAAGACAGCTAACTCAGATGACACCAAACATCCTCATTTCCCAAAGTTCTACATCACAAAGTTGAACTTTTGTAACTTAACAAACTTTGGGATTCAAGTAAATATTTTCAAAGTAAAATGGCACTGTTACCTAGCAAGGGGTCATGAGTGCTAGTTTGTGTAGCAGAGTAGGTTCTTGTTTTATTGAACAGGTGACCTTCTCCCTTGCATTTCGCTGGATATTTTGCCATTGATGTCTTTTTCTTTAATGATACTGTTATTTTTTGATGATTACACTTTTTGTTATTTTTGGTAATCTAAGGTATCTCTTCTTCCACCAATAGGCTTTATTTTGTCTTTATTAGAGGCATTCTGGCTTTGACTGTCACTCTGAGAAAGATGAGATAGAAATGATTGATGGCACAAGGAAGACAGTGTGAGGGGAAAAAGAAAATACAGGTTTCTTTTGAAAATAGACCTTTTTCCTTTAGTGACAAAAACTTCAATAATGTCATCATTATTAGTCCTAGTTACAAAAGCAAGTTCTCTGTCTTATCATCAGTGCTTTCTTAAGTTTCCGTTACATTTTATTTTAATTATTAGCTTTTTGGCACAGTGAATTATAGTATCAAATAGCTTTTGGTTATTTGGGCAAAATCTCAAAAATTTGTGAGTGACAAATCAAACAGTATTTCAGAAAGCTTTTAAATTCAGTATTTTACAGCACTTCTAATCCTTCTCTCTTGCTGCTTCTTTAGGGAGATGATCCATACCCTTGGCCAATGTTTTCATCATATCCTTTGCCAAGCTGCTATCTGTCAGAAGTTGCTAGAAATGCCGATATTAAAAAAGGTAAAATATTTACCATCAAGTTGCATATTATTGCCAAAACTTGTATTACAGTTTGAAGAAAAGAGATTAAATTGAGGAACATTAATATTGATTTCTATTCAGCTCATATACATGGGTAAATTTATGCCTATTTCTTCATAATTTGGAATTTTTTCTTCCTCACTTGTCATTTCTATAAGATTAAATAATTCTTTCTTTTGTGGTAGATTTGTTTAGTAGCAAAAGCCATTTGTTTTCTAAAAAGGAATTAATGGCTTCTTATTTGATATGTGGAGCTTTTATTTTCAACAGAGTAATAGGTTTTAATAATTGCTGTGTGCCACATATTAATCCTATGTTCTTAAGTCTTGAATTACAGTGAGGAGTATGGTGTCTACCACTGTGAAAGTCATGAGCTGTTAGAGAATCTACTCAAGTCATTGGTAATTGTATAATATTACAGGGTAATAGAAGATAACTAAGTCCTATGGCTGCCACATTTCTTTCTATAAAATAAACAGCTTTTCCAGAAGTGGGGCTGTAGCTCAAGTAGTTTCAGAAACAGTGCCCAGGTCCTGAGTTCAGGCTCCAAGATTGGCACTACAAGCAAACAAACAAACCCACAAGCAAAAAAACCACATTTTGCTACTGGATAAAATGTATCACACTATTTAGTAAGTAAGCATTACTTAACTGTATACAAGTATTATGTTAACTAAGAAACATTAAAATTATGAGGACATAATAGTAAATGCATCCATGTGTACATTCTGGACAGAAATAAGCATGGAAGTAATAGTAATTATGTGTAACAGGAGGCATAGCTTAAGTTTGTGTTTTCTGGGTAACAGAACAACACTTTGAGCAGAGGAAAGAGCAGAGGGTGTCAGAAAGGAAGAACTGCTAGTTGGGAGCGTGGGACATGCAACGTGACAGTAGCAGTGGAGGAAATTAGCCTAAGCACAGCAGCCTAATCTACCCTTAGATCAGGGAAACTCCCATTGGGATGTTTAAGGTTTATCATGAAAGCTGTGAAAACGGGGAGTTTTTAGGCTAGAGAATGCTTAGATGAAATATAAGAGTACATATTCAAACTTTTTTAATTTGAAAAGCAAGTTCTTATAACAACATGTTCTTACTTATGCCATCAAACTGACATTGGAATAGAATAACTATGTAAGAGAGCCATTTGCATTCATTTAGTGCTCTTTATAATTTGTGGTTTTGTTTTTCATTTTTACCTGACCTGATCTATTGCATTTTCAGATATTGAGGAGTTGATATTGAACATTTTTCCAGGAAGATGTCCTGAGATAGTACCATTTTGGACTACTTTCTCACTGACTTATCTTTCAATAAACATAAATGATTTACTTTTGCTCTCCTATTTCATATTCTTCTTTTAACCGTTTTTGTTTCAAGCTATTTACATGATGTCATTCTCTGTTTAGGTTTCCAAATGGAGTCACTCATTTAGCTTAAGATAAGTTTCTTGTTTCCCTTCTCCTCCTCCACCTCTTCCTCCTCTCCAGCCTCTTCTCCTTCTTCTGATACTAGGGTTATAAGTAATGGCTTTGAACTTGCTCAGCTTACTGGCTGGGCTGGCATTTTACCATTTGAGACATGCTTCTAGTCTGGCTCCTGGTTGGTTATTTTGGAGATGGAGTCTCATAGACTTTTCTGCCTAGGCTTTCTTCTAACTCTGATCCTCTGATGTTACCTTTCTATAGTGCTGGGATTTCAGGCATGAACCAATGGCATTTGACATCTGTGGCTATCATCTTCCATAGTTTGTTTCTTCAAAATACCTTGTTAACTTGAACAAGGCAGACCAAACTCAAAAAGTAAGATTTTATTAGCTATTTCCTTTGAGAAGAAGAAAAATTCTATCCTTACTTGTTAGGACTAAGTGATCAGACTAGTCTACTCATGTAGGCCATGGCTTAGTAAATAGAGTAGTCGTAGCTTTCTGTCAGGTAAATGCACATGCTAACATAATTGACCATATAGTACTGACTGGCCATCACATGGTGTTATTCCAGGTTCATTTACTTCCACATTTTCCTAGATGCGTGTTTTCAAAACTTACCTCTCCTTACATCTTTCTTTCATTTTCCATGCTTTCCTCAAGAGTAGTCATACTTCTCATTTTACTGGTGAAGTAGATGAAGAGCCCTTAGACCTGTGTATGCTGCTTTTATTTATCTCTTCTTTATTCCCCTTAGCACAACCAACCATGTAATATCACAAACCCTGAATCCTATTCTAGTTGTTCTTGAACTCTGCCCAGCATGGTCTCTTTGACTGGGGACATTATATTTTACCTCTAATCTCCTGGGTGAACTTGATTTTTAACACTTTTTATTGTTGGTTCTTTATTTTGTACTGGTCCTGGAACTTGAACTCAGGGCTCTAGGTACTGAGCTTTTTTGCTCAAGGCTAGTGTTCTATTACTTGAGCCACAGCTCTACTTCCAACTTTTTTGGTGTTTAATTGGAGATAAGACTATCATGGACTTCTCTGCCTAGGCTGACTTTGAACTGTGATCCTCCAATCTTAGCCTTCTGAGTAGCAGGATTACAGATGTGAGTCACTTGTGCTTGACTAAAATAAACCTTAAATGATAAGCATTATAGATATCTGTTGTATACGTCACTAGTCATAGACTCTTGGTAAAAACATTTAAATTTATCTGTATTTGAGTATACAATTTTTTATTACCTTTAGGCACCAAGTTGTACTAATCAGTCTCTTGACTACCTTGTTATAGTTGATACAAAGTATCAACTATAAGATACTTTGTATCTTTTGACCAACATTTCTCCTCTAGACACCAGTAAACACTATTCAGCACTCTGTTCCTTAAGAGTTTATTTGTTTAGATTTCACATATAATAAGATCATGCTTTGTCATTATTTGTGTGGGTTATATTACTTCTCATACTGCCCTTTTAGGTTTGCCCATGTTAGAATTGACGGAACTTCCTTCTTTTTTAAAAGCTGAATTCCCTTTATGTTTATCTATCTATCTATCTATTTTGGGGGGCAATCTCGATTGGATCTTTCCCATAAGCCAGCAAGCTTGCTCTTTATTCTTCCATGTTTAAATACTTTTTATTGAACTCATTTTCCTCTTAATACAGTAGCAGTTCTGTCCTTCATTTTACTGTAAATGAAGGGGTTGTCTTATCTGGTATTCCAGTTACTTTTTCTCCATTCTCTTTCAGATCCACTTGTTAGCTAATGAGGCCTGGACTCAAGCACTCCAACAGCTTGAAATCCACCAGTCCTTCTCAGCCCTCTGTCCAACTACACTTGAATCACCTCATGCATTTCCCCTGCCTGCTTGACTATTAACATCTTGTTTCATTTATTTTTTATTAAAAAATTAAATCATTTTTAGATAGTTGTACAAGGAGATTTCAACTCAACCTGTCAGTTTATGAGTGAAATGCACCCTTCCATCATCCTTCATCATCTCTCTCAACACCACCCATTCCCTCGAGGTGCCTGGTTGCCTTTTTTTTTTTTCCCCCAAAACATTTGTTTCACCTGTCTTTCACAAATTGTTTGTTTTTGTCCTCTTGTCTTTATGTTGAATTCTTCTTTGTGCCCAGTTTTGGATACCTCCCACTTCTACCCTTTAACTTTGAACTACCCTAGGGCTCACTTCTCATTTCTCTTCACTTTCATTGCCCACAGTCTCAGCTGTACTCATGGAAAAAGGACTGTCCAGTATGCCAATGACTACCACTCTGACATCTCCAACTTTGATCTCTACCTTGACCGGTGGATTCATATGTATCTATTTACTTGGCATCTCTGTGAGAAAGATTGATAAGCATATCAAACTTAACATGGCTGAGATAATCCTCAGCCTATCCCTTAAATCTCTCTCCTAAACATTTTCCCTAATTGTGCAAGATACCTATGTACTTCCCTTCTTCAGGTGATAATCCTGAAGGCTTTTTTTTTTAAACTTTTCTCTTTCTTCATACCCACACCAGCAACCTGTCAGCCCAGCCTTTTCCCTCTATAGATCTAAAACCTCTTTTGCTCATCTACTGTCACTATTAACTCTTAACTGTAGTAGTATCTGGTATCCTGCAGTGCATAGTCTGTTCTCAACACTGCAGCCAGACGGATACTTTTAAATAAAAGCTCAGATCATATTACTTCTCTAATTGAAAATTCTTCAGGGGCTTTCCTGTAGCTTATAAGTTTCAAGGCTTTTTTTTTTTTTTTTTTTGGGTCCGGTCGTGGGGCCTGGACTCTGGGCCTGGGTGCTGTCCCTCAGCTCTTCAGCTCAAGGCTAGCGCTCTACCACTTGAGCCACAGCACCACTTCCGGCTTTTTTCTTGTTGCTTATGTGGTGCTGAGGAATCGAAACCAGGGGCCTCAAGCATGCAAGGCAAGCGCTCTACCACTGAGCCACCTTCCCAGCCCCAAGTTTCAAGACTTTTAAGACATCCTTCCTTGTACATGTTTTGTTTTAGGGCGTGTCATACAATTTCAAGTCATATTCAGTGCCTTATTTTGCTATCATTTACCCACAAAGACTCTTACTGACTTTCTATTAGTTCTAACAACAAGTGTTTGAATAAGACACTATTCTCAATTTAACAGTATTCCTTGATATATCCTCCTAATAAGAGTGGTCCTACCTGGCCTCATTGAAGTTCTCATTGAGGAGAATAGCCTGATCTCTATGCATCAGTGAAATTTACACAGAGATCTATTCAACCAGACTCACTATATCTCATTCTGATATTGTTGATGTCTATGTTACTGTCAGACTCTTGGTAGTATAGCAATTATCAGAAGAGAAAGTCAGAAGCATATCTAGCTTTCCCTCTGATTTAAGTCTCTCATACAGTCCCTCTGGACTGTATGAAGGAAAAAAAAGTATGTTTTCTAACAGGTATAAGTCTAAACCAAAAGGAATGTGTTTAAACACAGTTAACTAACCACTATTATGGACTTTAATAGATATTGTGTTTAAACTAATAATACTTAAGACA